TAAGAACAAGTAAACAAATGTCAAATGTTAGAAACCATGGTTATATGAATTAACTGTGACGTCATGACTTATTTAACCGTAGTATTACATAGTATTTAGGCGAAATGAGAGTGTACCTACTTTGGATATGGTATAAGGATAGGTATATAATCACGTGACTTTACACAGGGTTGGGTCAGTAGAAAACCTTAGGTAATTTACCTTGGTAGAAAAGGGTAGAAAACTTGTTTTCGACTTGCGTCGAAAACCTATAGGGTTTTCTACCTACGTAAATTACCTTATTCGACCTTCTCCTTCCACTTCTCTATAATTCTCATGCCAAAAATTATGTTGGGGTCTCCCAACCAAACGTGGCCCTTTTTTCCCACCATAATAATGTTAAAAAACTCCAAAAAACTTCAAATTTATGGTAGGTGTCTGATTTTTCACAACATTTAACAAATCATAATAAACAACAAACTTGCATAACCTCACATTTTTTGATATTTGACAGTATTCTACTTTTTTACGTTTTCTACCGTCGAAAACGTCGAAAAAGGTTTTCTACATGTCGAAAACAAAAATGTAGGTAGATACCCAACCCTGACTTTACACAGGGTTGGGTCAGTAGAAAACCTTAGGTAATTTACCTTGGTAGAAAAGGGTAGAAAACTTGTTTTCGACTTGCGTCGAAAACCTATAGGGTTTTCTACCTACGTAAATTACCTTATTCGACCTTCTCCTTCCACTTCTCTATAATTGATAAAAATTTGCCCTCATGCCAAAAATTATGTTGGGGTCTCCCAACCAAACGTGGCCCTTTTTTTCCCACCATAATAATGTTAAAAAACTCCAAATAACTTCAAATTTATGGTAGGTGTCTGATTTTTCACCACATTTAACAAATCATAATAAACAACAAACTTGCATAACCTCACATTTTTTGATATTTGACAGTATTCTACTTTTTTACGTTTTCTACCGTCGAAAACGTCGAAAAAGGTTTTCTACATGTCGAAAACAAAAATGTAGGTAGATACCCAACCCTGACTTTACATTATACCTAACCTCCTTGTTATTTTCGAACGCCGCGGAGCATATACCTATAAACTTTATGTTGTAGTGTTTTAAAATCAATTGGTTTTGCTTGTTATTTGACTGAATACATATAAATATAAAATTTTTGAATTTCAACCCTTTAGTTATATGGATTATTCAAGTTTTTGTGTTGGATTTTGTTTTGTTTTTTAGAATTGAAATTTTTTAAATAATTTATTATAATAATTTCTTTAATTTTAATTTTTTTCGTTTTTGTTTTATTGAATTTTAAACAGATATAAATATATTATATGAAGGTAAATACAAATTATTGTTTGATGTACCCTATGCGCATGACGGGTAAAACTTAACCAAGCTTGGACAACCGAGAGTGCACTCTGGGCATATACTTGCTGTTTTCGAACAGCTGACAGTTGCATATATATGCAACTATATATATCTAGGTATATACTGCCGTACTAAGCGCAGAAGCGGTAATTAACATATTGGCTGTCATGAGATATTGGTATTTTTATGTTAATAGCTCTGCCAACTCAGTTCGGTAACAGATACCGCTAAAAATAACCCAGGCAACACAGGGTCGTAGAAATCACGTAGAATCGTCGACGAATTGGGTCGAATTTGGTCGAAGTTACATTTCAACCATTTTTCGACGTCTCAAAATTCACCAAAACACGACCAATTATTAACTTAGGTCGATGATAACCAATAAATGACGTCATTATCACGTGAACAGATGACGAAATTTTAAAAAAAATATGAATATATAGTGCACTATCATGATAATTAATAAGAAACAGTTGGCCCGTTTTAATGGGCCGACAAAAAGTTTTGGAATATTTTTAAAAACAAAAATTATTATTTTTATTTAATTTACGTTATTTCGACGGAGAATCAACGTGCGATATGTTATTAAAATAATTTTAAACATTATTTGGTTTTAAACTAATTAAGATAGATTAATAATTATCGATCAATGGATTTTTTAAAACAAATTCGCGATTTTTAAATCCTTTATCATTTTATCACAAAATAAGAAATTAACATGTTACTGCAGTTGACAATCACAATTTTAATTTTAGTAAAATTATTTATCTACAGTGTTGCCAGATGTTTTATAATTTTCTTTTTTAAAATAGTAAAATTTAAATAATAATCGATAATTGTAACATAATTTAATCCGCCGCGTAGTTTTGCTTGTTTTTATACAATTTTTGTTTTGATAATTTTATATAATTTTCTGTAAATTTGATCATTTTGTCAACCCTCTTCGATAATGTTAATTTTTACACCTGGCAACCCTGTTTCTCTTTGGCCTTGGGTAAGTTGGCACTACTTACAAAGCGAGGGAACGTTTATTCCTAAAAAACAATATGGTTGATTCAAGCGTCCAACTTTTATAATCTGTGGCATTTATACATAGAACAAACCATTTATACTGATAAGACTTTGGCTGTGTCAGGTAGGTCAATTTTTGTTTGTTTATTAATGTTTTAATTACTCAGTATATTCCGTAACGAAGTCATAACACCTAAATGAAGTACCTACATAAGCTCCTAAAATATTGACCTGTCATCTGTCTTAAAATTTAATGTGTTTGATTTTATAATAAATGTTTTGAGCAACTTAAAACATGTTTTATTAATTATTAAACCAAAAGCCCTTTATGCACTGGTAAAAATAATTATTTATTCTTATATCCGATATTTTAATGCCAGATATATGCCAGACATATGTATGTGTTTCTGCAAAGATTAACTAACAATTTTTTTTTTTGATATTCTACTTTTTTACATACATTTATTTTGATTATTAATTATTTACTAAATATATATCTACTATAGTAGTATATATATACTATATATAGTAGGGTTTACCTATTTATTTCTTAAAATTTAAAAGTACAACTAAAAATTTTTTGTTTTTTTTAATTTTGACAAAATCACATTTCGCATTAAAATATCTGATATCAGTATCGGTAATTATTTTTATGTGTATGACCTAATCATATATTATTCAAGAAATATTACGTGATTATTCACGTCAAATTACGTAAATAATTACGTAATATTACGTGATTTTACACGTGAAATCGCTGTGACATATTGTCGTCAATTTTACGACGATAAGACGTGTCTAAGTTGGTGACTTCGACGTCAACGTAGACGTAAATTAAACGTGATATTCACGTCACTGTGTTGCCTGGGATAGTACCAGAGAATTCGAACGCACAAGGTAAACTTGCACTCTTGCGAGTTTTCGAACGCGCTCCTAGTTATAGGTATATGGCTTGAACGAGTTTGGGTCTCACGAAGCGAAGGGAAAAGTCAAATGAATATTATTAAATCGAAACTAAATAAAATGCAATTGCCATACTTCAAATAAGGTCAGGATTGCAATTTAAAGAGAAGAATGCTGTTTTTAATTATGATATTCCAAAAAATGTAATCAAACAAATAAAATCTAATGAAACTTTCAGTTCTGATTTCAATATAGATATATATTTTTATTTAAATACATATTAATATTTTTTGTATATTAATATATTGGTCAATAAATCTTTATTAGTGTTATTATTAATAATGTAACTAGTTTCACTCGATTATCGTTTTTTGTTTATTATAAATTTATATAATTTTTTTAGTTCTTTTAAATTTTATCAATGTTACATTCTATTTTATATATTAAAAAGTGATTATTTTTACCATGGAGCCTACACGAGGAGCCCGAACTTAATAGGGAAAATTGACAAAACCTGTCCACTAAATTGCACAAATTAAGTCTTTTTTTTCACCACCAGCGGCGCTGATTGTCGATGCGTCCGTATGACGTGAAAATAGTATCGAAAATACATGTGAAGTAAGCAAGTAAGTTTTGACAATTGATTTGCAATAATGTTTTGACGTACGAATCGTTTTGTTATTTATGGCTGTACCGTGGCCGACACGGAATTTTGAACGACTATCATCCCGTTGACATCAAAATCTAAACTTTCTTTATGGACAACTAACCTTACTTTCGGTTATCACTAGTGTTGTAATTTTGACAGCGAAAGCAAAAATGCTCAATACTGTATCTTTGCTATTTACAGATGTATACATTGACAACCAAGTTATGTCGTTCAAAATTCCGTGTCGGCCACTGTACCTGGTAGGTAGATGCTATTGAATAGGTTGTCGTTGTGAATTACAAGTGACTCTGGAGAAGCAAAATTAGATTTCCAGGTTAGAAATATACACCGCTATTAATTAATTTAAATTTAATTTAATTTAAAAAGTATGTATAAAATAAGTAAACAGCATATTTAATAATTTCCACCTTTATTTGTTTATATCGAAATTTTATTTAAGCCATCTACCTATAAAACTAAAAATAAATACCATATGGATTTAATATTCTGTTAGTTTTACACGCTTTAACACCACACGACATTCTTTTATAGAAAAAAAAAACACGTATTTATAAAAAACTGTACTATGCTCTACATCAGAAAGTCCAACATGAATTCCAATGTTAAATTTGATATAAATTTATTGTAAATTAAGACCTTTATACACAAAACCAGGTACATGGGTACATTGTTTTCAGAAAGCGATAAACTGACAGTTGCATAACCTCAATTATTTGCACAATAATAAGTGGTAGGTAGTGGCGCCATCTCTGGTTATACCCCTCTACTGTTTTGGGCCGGTACACATATATGTGGGCCGGTAGTACACCAGTGCCCTCTTATCTTAGGAAGATTCTTGTTTACATGAAGTTCGGGCTCCTTGTGTAGGCTCCATGATTTTTACTTAAAAAGTTAGTGGAATTCTAGTGGATTTTGATCTCCCATTTAGTGGAATGGACTTGCCCAGTGTTGGCAACACTGCTTTTCGAACGCACTCCTGGTGGGAGTGAAAAAACATAGTTGGCAACGCTGAACAATATATATGTATATACTTCAAAAGCAAACAAACAAAAATATTTAAGAATTTATAAAATATATATAATAAGAAAATGTTGTTTGTGCATTATGGTTTGGTTTGAATAAATATGGATAAATATGACATCCTAGGTTCCTTGGGAGAAGGATCTTTTGGTCGTGTTTACAAAGCTAAACGGAATACAGATGGAATATTTGTAGCTTTAAAAGTTATAAGCAAAGTTAGTGCGTGTGATAAAATGTAATTTTAATCTTAAAATATGTGTAAATTTACAGAGGGGCAGATCAGTCAAAGAACTAAAAGGTTTTAGACGAGAATGTGAAATTCAAAGAGATCTCAATCACCCAAATGTTATTAAAATGCTTGATTCATTTGAAACGGATAATGAAGTAAGTTACCTATTAAATATCTTTTTAATAAATAGTTCAATTTACTGTTTTAGATTGTGGTTATTACAGAGTTTGCACATAAAGAATTAAATAAGCTTCTTGGAAAAACTGGATATTTATCTGAAGATAAGGTTCAACCAATTGTTTGGGATTTAGTTTCTGCTTTATTTTATTTACATTCAAATAGAGTTCTTCACAGGTATTTATATATTATTTATCAAGTGTACATTCATTTTCATATTATAACACTCAGAAGTCTACATTAAAAGACTTTATAGAGTCATTCCTTATTAAATCAACAAATTTAAATTGAAAAGTGTGCCACATGATTTTTAATTCAAATAAAAAAATTGAGGATAATTTTTGAGGTACCAGAAATGCTAATTCACCATCATTTATTTTTTTTATTGTATAACTTCTAGTCACTACCCATCCGAAGTCAAAAATTGAGTCAATTTCATACCTACTACTATAATGGGCTCTAGCGTTTAACTTAGAATAGGTATTGAATTTATTGATGCTTTAGTTGATTGGGTAGTAAATGAACATTTCATAATATAAAATAAAACAGAACAGTAACAACTAGGAACCAAATGGTGACCACCTAAAATTTACAAAAAAATTCTTACCATTTTTAATTGCACCCTGTGTGACCCAGTTGCAAATTAAGGTTTGATTTTTTTTAGAAATATAGTATTAACCATTCTGATGCCATGACTTAACTTTCATTGTTCTAGAATGAAATTTCGTACAAAAAAAAATGTAAAAATTGATAATTTTTAAAAATGCTTAACTTTGATCCTCAAAAAACTGATGTGGAGGAAAAAATAAAAATTTGATAGTTTCAGAAATTATAGTTTATATCTTTGTTAATTACGTCCAGTTAGTGCTATTCTCTGATCAAATTAATCCGACGATTTATGCCCGTATCCACCAACTCAAAAAATAAATGCTTAAAAACAAGAAAAATGACATTTAAATTAAAACAAGTCGTTTTTCAAAATGGCCCAAGCACAAATTATTCTTATTTTGAGAATAATTTTTCCTTTGGGTGGTTGACCCCTCGGCCTGATTACAAATACAGCATAAAAGAATGTTATAGAAAAACCTTTATGAACAAAGTATAATGAATTAAACGTTTTATTTACTATTTTTTGCCTTATGTTGCTATATATTTAACAAAAATCTTCCATGTTCGTAAAGTATAGAAGCAAAATCTTTCAGCATTTCAGAATAAAATGTAACATTTTATAGTTATCATATAGGATAAAATGTTATTGCAATATTGCAAACATATCTAGGTTATATTTTATATGTTGAGTTGGATTTAAAATATAGTGTTAAATGGATAGGTACTATTTTAGTCTTTTATTTTAATTTATCAAAATATGTTTATATCTAAATTACACCTAATGCTATGATAGTAAGTAATACATGATTTCTATATATTTTTTAAACTTCCATATTTTCAAGTTAATTTTTTGAAGTATTCTTCTATTTCTGCTGCATTGACAGGATGATAATGCAAGGTTTTGTGATTGGTCAGGCACCGAAACCTTTGTTTAAGAACACCAAAGCATCGCTCTATTACATTTCTTGCTCTTATATGAGCGACCTTTCAGTGCATTTTCTGAGGCATCCATAATATTGGTAAGCAAATACGGTAACAGTGGGTACCGTGAGTCACCTAAAATGAATATTATGTTATACAGGGTATCCCATAATTATCGTGCAATAATTTAACAGCAGTTTTTACGTACAAAAATAAGAAAAAAAGTTCCTATAAACATAGGCCGAGAAATGCTTTCTAAGAGAGCTGAAAGAGGAGCCCCTGAAGATGGTTTTTATTTAATATATCCAAAACCGTTCAAGATAGAAAAGTAAAATTTTGGGAATTAATCAAACTTTTTATGGCCAATAAGATGTAACAATTCAAAATTTAGATGAGGGGTGGGCCAGGTAGTTGGGAGTAGGGGTTAAAACCACCCTAACTTTTTTGTATGTGTCTCGTGCTAGGATTTGATGTCAGATTATGAAATTTCGGAGTTTTACACACAAAAAAGGTCCTTTTGTTAAACTTTTAAAAAAATTAGGGTAGTTTTATCCACACTCCCTATCTATCTGACGCACCCCTTATGAAAATGTTGAATTTGTTATCATTCCAACTTATTGGCCATAAAAAGTTTGATTATATCCCAAAATTTCACTTTTTTATTTAACAGTTTTGGAGATATTAAATAAAAAACACCTTCAGGGGCTTCTCTTTAGGGGGCTGTAGCTCCCTTGGGAAACATTTCTTGACCTATTTTTATGGGAACTTTTTTTCTTACTTATATGCGTACAACCTGCTGTTAAAGTATTGTACGCTAATTATGGGAAACCCTGTATATGTTGGTATGTTTGGTTTATTAGCATACAAAATATATATATATATATATATATATATATATATATATAGATATATATTTATATATTAGACTGGTTCAAAAAAATCGAATATTTTTTTTTCTTCAAAGCCCGAATTGAAATATCTTCCTTGTAGTGAAAAAAGAAGCCTGTGAAAATTGTAGCTCTTAATATTATTATTTAGAGGTCGCTAATCGTGAATTTCTATTTTACGTTTAAATAACACAGGAATTCTTTTTTCTTAACTTTGAAATTTTATAACTCGTTTTTGAGTGAACATATTGGAATGAACTCTATATATTTTTGAAGAAAATTGAACGTTCTACAAAAAATGTCTCTTATAATTTTTTCATAAATTCACTTCTTTTATAGTTATTCAAGGTTGAAATTAGACATATAATAAATTTAACATTTTTTTTCAATTGGTAGCATAATAATAAACCTTATCACTCATTATTGTACAGGATGGTCCAGTTTGTAATACATTAATTTTAATAGGCGATAAAGCATCAAAAATAAGGTAGACTTTCATAAAAAAGCATTTCTTAAAAAAAATAGTTTTCTCTTCATAACTTTTAAACCACAAAATTAATTTGGCACACAATGTAATATAGTCAGTGCCTTAATAATGATGTAGATAATCAGTGCCGCAGTTACTTGCGGGGCTGCTCCCCTTTTCACCTCAGTCTTTAACGCCACTGGAAATTTTAAAATAATAAATAAATGTTTAGGTCAAGTTTTTAATTAATGGAAAAAAAATTTGCTCTTGTAAAATTTTGATTTGGGGCCTGGTTTCTAAAATATTTGCTCAAAAATGTTTCCCCACAAAATTACATTTTTAGATTGTCTGTTCAATTTAGAGAAAAAAAAAAACTACTGTGCTAAAATTTTAATTTAGGGCTTCGTTTTTGAAATATTTGGGAACACACTCCAAAAAAACTGCGGCAAAAGTATTCTTGGATAAATAAATTAATTATTTAAAAAATGAAGCACTAAATCAAAATTTTACATGAGTAGTTTTTTTCTTTAAATTAAACAGATAATCTAAAAATGTGTTTATTATTAAAAAAAATTCCAGTGGCGGCTAAGGTGAAAAGAGGAGCAGCCCCCCAAGTAACTGCGCAACTGATGTTTTTTTAAATAATTATCCACATCATTACTAAGACATTGACTATATTGTGTACAAAATTTGATAAAAATTGATTAAGTGGTTTAGAAGTTATGATGGGGAAACGAGTTTTTTTTATACACTTTGACGGAAAGCGTCTCTGCGAGGAAACATTTTTGAGCAAATATTTCAGAAACAAAGACCCAAATCAAAATTTTACAGGAGTAAATTATTTCTCTAAATTAAAAACTTGACCTACAAATTTATTTAATATTTTAAAATTTTTAGTGGCGTCAAAGACTGAGGTGAAAAGGGGAGAAGTCCCCCCACATTATTATTAAGGCACTGACTATATTACATTTTGTGCCAAATCTGATGAAAATTAATGTTGTGGTTTAAAAGTTATAAAGAGAAAACTAGTTTTTTTGTAATCTTTGACGACCTGTATTTTCCTTAGGAAACATTTTTGAGAAATGTTAATTAATGAAAGTCTACCTTAAAATTAATGTATCACAAACTGGACCGCCCTGTATAATCTTTTTTGAAAATTTTATATAAATTATGTTTCTTTAAAAAAAATTATCGCTCGTTCCAATATGTCCACTCAAAAAAAAAGTTATAAAATTAAAAGTTAAAAAAAATTCCTTTGTTATTTAAACGTTACATTTATTATAATAATAATATAATTATATGTCTAATTTCAACCTTGAATAACTATTAAAGGAGTGAATTTACAAAAAAATTATAGGAAACATTTTTTGTAGAACGTTCAATTTTCTTCAAAAATATATAGAGTTAATTCCAATATATTGGAACATATATGTTCACTCAAAAACGAGTTATAAAATTTCAAAGTTAAGAAAAAAAATTCCTGTGTTACCTCGAATAACTCTAGAAGAAATCAATTTATCGAAAAATAATAAGAGACCTTTCTTGTAGAGCGTTAAATTTTATATAAGAAACTGCTATGATCATTGCCATAAGTTACTTTGATACACAGGTATAAAATTCCAAACATAAATTAATTTTTTCCCATGTTAATTCAATGGGAAACTAAAATAAAAATAGCGACCTCTTAAGATCTTAGAGTTGAGCTGGAACGCCCATATTTGGTGAGGTTTTTTTTTATATTAAATAAAAACATTTGAGAGGGTAAGAGCGAAAAAAAATTTTTTTTGAAGCACCCTAATATATATATATATATATATACATATTTATATACAGTGTGTCCACGGATGGACTTAACTATACTTGTAAAAATATTTATTTTCAATTTTTCGAAGAAAAGTCAGTCTTCATAATTTCTTCTGCTTGTCATATCAATACCATTCACGATGAGAAACTTCTATTTTGTTATACAGGGTGCGCAAAAAAATACAATTGTAGATTTTGCAAAATTAAAAATTTTTAAATATATTTTTTTAAAGTCTAATATTAAGAGCTTGTAAGAAGAAAACAAAAAGCCAAATAAAGTTTTTTTATGTGAGTTTTTGTTACTATTATTGGTCCTATTATTTTGTAGAAATTGACTTCTATCTATTTTTGTGATTATGAATCAAGGTTGTTGCTTTCAACTGACATGTCTACAATGTCTGCAATTATTTGTTAAAATTTGAAAACCAATATCTTAAATATTCAATATCAAATATCTTAGTATCAAAAACTCATATGAAAAAACTCCATTT